TAACCTATGTGTGGTCATGTAGCTAGTAAGTAAATAGAAGAGACAGTAACACAATTCAGCCTGATTCAAAGTCCGTGGGCTTGCTTACTGTATACGACTCTGCCTCACAGGGACAGCTGGGCTCTGGCAGAGACAGCCCTGATACCTGGGCCTATGCAGACATTTCCTGCCTGGATGGAGACATCTGAGCTCAGTTATAATAGCAGACAAAGCTGGTGCAGCAGCACTGTGCACAGGGACCCCAAGGCTAATAACACACTGCTAGGATGGAAGAAAATTAGCTTTGATTAGTCGAGTCATTTTCTAGCAGTTCGGAGAGTTCAAATGAGGCAAGACGGAAAGACAAGGAAGCTTGAGGAGCCGTGGGAAGGAAAATGAGTTCCTCAGCATTTGGTGAAAAAAATAAATAAATAAATAGATAGATAGATAGATAGAAAGAAAAGAAACTCTCACATGCAGAATTCCAAAGCAAGTTTTGGGTAAAAATGCATGCCTTGAGTCAGCTAGGTGGTTGTAAGTGAGGGCACAATGAAACCACTAAACTGGACCACTCTGTGGGTGTAAAAAGGAAAGGGCGATTGGAGGAAGGTCAAAGCTGCCATGGCTACCTCTTAGGGATAACTAAGGGACAGCGAGAATAGCAAAGAGGTGAGGAAAGCCTTGCCAGTATAAAGGGGGAGTAGCTGCCAGGAGGGAGATGTGCAAGCCAGAACAGCCAAGAAGTTTAGAGTAGCTAACCAGGAGGCTATGGTGGGGGCTCATGTGTGCTGCAGGTATGTGATAATAAGGAATCGGATGCCCCATTTGCAGAGGCTGTCAGAGGTAGGGAAGGGATGGCTCTTCCTGACAACAGAAACAGGTTTCTGAAGGATGCTGAGTGTAAGCTTTTGTCTACCCACCAGAAATCCTATTTACCCTGTCAGGGTCAGCCTGAGCTGAGCTCGGACTGTCATTTGGGGGACACTATCAGTGCCATTTTGGAGGGCTTGAAACCTAACAGTGGTGTGAAGCCAGCCTGGGCTACATAGACTTTACATCAAACCTAATACGGTAACAACAACAAACTACTTAGCACAGTACCTGAGATAAAATGATCAATAAATGCCATGTGTTCTTACCACCCTGCTGGGGTTCATCCAGCTCCAGAAATAGAAACAGTCCTGACACGGCTGCCAAATGCCTGACCCATGTATTTCCTGGGCCTCAGCACACTTTGAAAGAGTTCAAATCTCCGGGGGGCCCAGAGCAGCGTTACTATGGGCAGAAGAAAGACCCTGCACACACTCCACCCTATGGCCCAGTCCCTGGACCTCCTTGTGACTTCAGTGGCCTTTCCCTTGGGAAATTTGGGGCCAAAGGAAGAAAGTCTCAAGACCTAAGAATGTGAGAAGCAGATGCCCGGAGATAGGACTCTTCTTGATTTCAAGAAATTCTGGTCTTGCCTAGATAGACTCTCGTGGCAGCCTGGGGCTGGAAGCTGCATCCGGGAGCTTTTGGGAGCTTGGCTAGGGGTATATTGTGAGGAGCTAGGGAGGCTGCGCAGCAGCAGGCTAGGAGAGAGAAGGAAATGGCCCTTGTTCCTAAAGTAGGGGCCCTCCTTCCTGTGAGGGACTGGGCACAAAGGTGTCTGTCTCCCTGCCTCCTATCTCCCCAAACCACAGCTCAGAGGTGTGAAAGAATGAAAAACAACAGGGGGAGGGGAGGCAGAGAAGAGCCAGGTGCACATTTCACACCTTGACCACTGGTGAGGCCCCAGGCAGCTTCACTCTGACTAACTTCCTCCTCAGCCCTCCCTCCTGCAGAAGAGGGAGGGCGCAGAGTCCAGAACCTAGGCTGTGAGCTTTTGGCTAAGTAGATGGTTCTGACCTAGTCTTGGGATAGAAAAGGACTAAATTAGAAGCCCAGGTAAGGACTTGGCTCAGCTCTGTGACACAGGAACTTTCCAGGCTATCTAAGTTGCAAATAACAGCCGAAGCCCAGCACTGCAATTTTGAGGCTTTGTGAGTTGGTTTGGCACCAGAAGAGGGGAGCGGAGTTTTGGCACATACATTCCACACTTAGGGTGTACAGTCCACAGGGAAGCTCCATCAATTGCATGCTGTCCTTAGGCCCACTCCTCAGACAAGGAAACTGAAGCAGAAAGATGGAGTGCTTTCCTGGAGTTACAGCTGGGGAATTTAGCTAGAACTGGCAGGGCCCTCCTCTCTCAATCATGGCCAGGGACCACATTTTGGAGGACTAGCTCTCTTGGCCCAGGCCACAGCTATGAGCATATGCCCCAAAAGCTATTACCCTCCATTGTGGGCTCTCTTGGCTCTGGTGTCTACACTGTACTCACTTAGGCCTCTCAGCTATACCTGGCCTAAGCCCTTGGCCCAGGGCTAGATGCATAAGCCTGTGGCCATCTCAGCTAATCTTAGGACAGCTCTGCCAAGGGAACTGCCTGGGTATGGTTCTGACCTGTCCAGAGGTTGGCTAGGCTGGAACTAGGTAGGCCAGGAGTTCAGACAAGCTTGTTGTTCTGCCAATTGTATGGCAGTTATACAAGTCACTCAAGAGCATTGAGAGCCACAGCTGTTTTAGCAGGACCTGATACTGATGTCTGGTTGTGGGGCCTCAGAAAGGAAGGCTCTCCACACCTGATCTTCAGTCTGGCATCCCTCCCAGCAACCTGGGATGAGGATAATCTTCCCCTAGACAAATGAGACTGGGGCCCAGGAAGGAGACCAGGGATCCCTAGGCCTTTACACTTCACATAGACCTGTAATATTTTGGCAGCCCCTGGGAAGACACACACCAGACTGCCAGCTTCTGCCAACACAAGGTATTTCTAAAATGACCATCTGCTTCCCCCAGCTGTTCTTTTGTAAAGCAAAAGTCCCCTTTAATGCCAAAAGTAGGACAAGAAACACAGTGATAGACTAAGTCCTTGAAAATGAACAAGTAGCAGGGCAGTGGTGGCGCACACCTTTCATCCCAGCACTTGGGAGGCAGAGGAAGGCAGATCTCCTAGTTGGAAGCCAGCCTGACCTACAAAGTGAGTTCCAGGACAGCCAGAGCTACACAGAGAAACCCTGTCTCAAAAAAAAAAAAGAAAGAAAGAAAGAAAGAAAGGAAGGAAGGAAGGAAGGAAGGGAAGAAGGAAAGAAGGAAGGGAGGAAGGAAGGAAGGAAGGAAGGAAAAGTATATAGCCTTTGCAGGTTTTTCATTTGCATAAGTCACAAACAGGCATGGGGAAACTGGTGGGCACTAAAAGGATTTCGTGTTTCCCAGGCTTCTGTCTTTTCTGCTCCTACAGGTAGTTAATGCCAAGTCCTATACACCCTGACTGTCCTGGCCTCAGGAATCCTCCTAGTCCTCTCTACACAGCTCCTGAACTCCTCTAAGACCTCAGGTCCCTTTGATCTGAGCCCTACAGGTAACATGCTATTCCAGAGAAGTGTCCCATCTGTCCACAGGAAGGAAAGGGTATTGATTCTTGACAGGTGCATGTCATGTCAATAACCTTAGACTGAATTGGTGGAGCAATTTGCTTGAACACTGAGTGTCAGCCCAATGTGGTGACTCAGGAGGCTAAGGCGGGGGGGGGGGGTGTCATGAATTCAAAGCTAGCCTGGGCTATATTGAAGTCCTTGTCTAAGAAAAGTCACATATTAGACCAGACATGGTAGCCCACAACTTTAATCCCAGCACCCAGTAAGTAGAGGCAGGCAGATCCCTGTTGAGTTCTAGTTCAGCCAGTGTCACATAGTAAGACCCTGAAAAAAATTAAACAGTCCTGGCTTCCACTACCCAGCACTAATGCATGCATGGTATTGTTTTATATGGTGATTTGTATGTTTCACATGGTATGTAAGTAACGCTGAAGTATACATAATATTCTATGACTTGCCTCTTCTACTATGTAGGCATTGGCTCCCGTGTGTTCTGCCTTGTGAAAAAATATGGGAATCTCCACTTGTTTTTGGCTGGATGAATAAACCAGTTTATCCTTTTAAAAGGCAGTGAACTACCCCACCGTCCTGCCAACTGCTATGTGCAATGGTGCACTCCTATAATCCCAGCACTCAGGAGGCTGAGCCAGGAAGGTTGTGAGTTCAAAGTCAAGTTAGGCTATAGACTGAGACTGTGTCAGAAGAAAAAAAAAAAACTATTTTATGAGTGCTAACATTCTTTCCGGCCCACCCACTCTGAGATGGATCTGTAAAATCAGATAGAACCCTAGACAGAGTAGCACATGCCTGAGTTGCTGAGCAATGAACAAGAAGCATGATGCACCTGGCAGCAGGGCTGCCCTCCACTTCCCCATTGTGTGGCTTCAGACCTCTCCTCTCCCCTAATAGAACCTTCCCCCCACCCAGTCACCCCAGACCCTTCCCTACGGCCCAGACTTTCTTGCTCTGATACCAGATGGAACTCCAATATTCCTGATCACCTATAGTACCATCAACTGTGCTGCTTGTTTGCACTGCATAATCCCAGCTGCCAACCCCTGAGTTATCACGTATTTCCCAATTGCTGAGTGTGCTCCTGACCAGCTCCATCTGGTCTGGACACTATACGACATTCTAAACGACTTTGGGCTCATTATAACCCCATAATGGTTTTACATATACATATATATCTTCACCCATGCCAGGTCAGATCCAACCATCCCCAAATTAGGAAGAAAAGAGGTGGCATGCTGCTCTTGGTGACCTCCTCCCTTCCCATGCAACGATGATAGCAGTTTCTCGTCACACCCCACTCTAACCCGGTCCTCGTGAGACTCCAACCCCAGACTTGCTGGGGAGAAGGTACTTTCAGAAGGTGGGCTTCCCTTCTCCAGTCACTGCTGTTAAACCACACTTCCTGCCTGCTCCTAGTTATTTGTGAATGGTATTGAGTAGGACAAGAACCACAGACTTGGTGACTGTCCCAAGTTCCTGGCTAACTCCTTCCAAATGTATTCATCTGGCCACAGGCGTGGCAGAAAAGGGACCCGGTGGAGGGCTGATGTAGATAACCCTTTGGAAGAGGCTGTGCTGAGCCGTGAAGTCTTCACTTCCTCTGTTCACTGTAAGTTCCCAACCACAAGTGTTAAAGCAGAGAAGCAAGGAGTACACGACCTGACCCCAGCAGCCACAGCCAGAGTGCCAGCCCAGCCATGTATCTTGAGGTAAGTTCTGCTGCCCGGCTCAGATATGATATAGTGCCAAGTGGCCAAGCTCTAGTGCCAGGGACAAATCTGGGCTGTCCCACAGCCCAGGGGCCCAGAGCTGAGTAAGCAGTATGGAATGCATTAGTGGGGTTGGGTACCCAGTCTGGCCACTAACCACAGGTATGTCTCCTGCTTCTGTGGCTTGGATGGCTTATCTGAAAATGTCACATTGTAGAGACTCGATTTTGGTGATCTCTAGCTCTGGGACAGTTTGGTGTGAATGAGTGAAAGGTGAAGAGGATTCATGCTATCTAGATGAAATGATATACCCGCATCGATCTAGCTACTCGGGAAGCAGAGGTAGAAAGTTCACTTAAGTCCAAGAGTTTGAAATAAGCCTGGTCATCTTGGGGAAACCTACCTATTGGGGAGCTCAGTGGGTACCTAAGTGGTTGCATAAACCTCTAGGTAGGGATAGGGAAGCATGTATGGTGTATGTAAGGGTACACAGCAGTTTATAGAAAAGCCTTCTGTGAGGCCAGGAACTTAGGGTCACCGGATATAGGGCTGAGGTGGGAAAAGGAGGGCCAGGGACTAGAAGACAGAGAAGACGCCCCTGGGGAGGCAGGTGATTGATCTAGATGTGGCCATGATGTTGAGGCAGACAAGCCACAAAGAGTGAAGAGAAAGGCAAAGAGAATAGAAGGCTCCAGACCTGGAAGGAAGTTCCTCTTCCTGCAAAAGGACCCCTGGCCCATGTAATAATCCAGAGAGGCCCGAGGGGTTGCCAGCCTTTGAGAACGGGAGTCACCATCCCAGTCTGAGTAGATGGAGTTAAGGAGTGGGCCTGGGAGAAAGCGAAAACTCAAAGTCTGACTCAGACAGAGCTATTGCTAAGGGAAATACTCATTAAAATAAATGACAAGGCACAAAGGGGCAAGACAGTTGCCAGGCCTTTACAAAGAATGACCTTTCCTTCCCTCTTTCCCCTTCCTTGGGCAGGTTAGTGAACGTCAAGTGCTAGATGCCTCGGACTTTGCCTTTCTTCTGGAAAACAGCACCTCTCCTTTTGATTACGGGGAAAACGAGAGCAACATTTACTTCCCGCCCTGCGCACAGGACTTCAGTCTGAACTTTGACAAAGCCTTCCAGCCGGCCCTCTACAGCCTCCTCTTTTTGCTGGGACTGCTAGGCAATGGGGCTGTAGCTGCTGTGTTATTGAGCCAGCGTGCTGCCCTGAGCAGCACAGACACCTTCCTGCTTCATCTGGCTGTGGCCGATGCACTGCTGGTGTTGACCCTCCCACTGTGGGCAGTAGACGCTGCTGTTGAGTGGATTTTCAGCTCTGGCCTCTGCAAAGTGGCAGGTGCCCTCTTCAACATCAACTTCTATGCAGGGGCCTTCCTGTTGGCCTGCATAAGCTTTGACCGCTATCTGAGCATAGTGCATGCCACCCAGATCTACCGCAGGGACCCCAGGGTACGTGTAGCCCTCACCTGCATAGTTGTCTGGGGACTCTGTCTGCTCTTTGCCCTCCCAGACTTCATCTTCCTGTCGGCCAGCTATGATCAGCGCCTCAATGCCACTCACTGCCAGTATAACTTCCCACAGGTGGGTCGCACTGCTCTGCGTGTACTGCAGCTGATGGCTGGTTTCCTGCTGCCCCTTCTAGTCATGGCCTACTGCTATGCCCATATCCTGGCTGTGTTGCTGGTCTCTGGAGGCCAGAGACGCTTACGAGCCATACGGCTGGTGGTGGTGGTGGTGGTGGCCTTTGCTGTCTGCTGGACCCCCTATCACTTGGTGGTATTGGTGGACATCCTCGTGGAGTCGGGAGTTTTGGCCCGAAACTGTGGTCTAGAAAGCCGTATTGATGTGGCTAAGTCAGTTACCTCTGGCATGGGCTACATGCACTGCTGCCTCAACCCACTGCTCTATGCCTTTGTGGGGGTAAAGTTCAGAGAGCAAATGTGGATGCTGTTCATGCGTCTGGGCTGCTCTGACCAGAGAGGGGCCCAGCGGCAGCCATCATCTTCACGGCGGGAATCGTCCTGGTCTGAGACAACAGAGGCCTCCTACTTGGGCTTATAATTCTGCAATGAAACTGTAGCCTGTGCAACCCAGGTCCTTCTCCTCTGACTCACCCATAACTTTGCTGCTGGGACTCACTGGCAGCCCAGCATCTCCAGGTCTCCTGAGAACCACTCTCCTAGCTCCAAGGACAGCACTGTTACTGAGCCTTAGCTGCCATACCCTATCCTGCTATTTCAGAGCTAGCTGCCTGGAGCACCACCACCCTTCAAACGCAGCAAATAGAAGTCAGCGTTCCCTGTGGGAGGGGAGTGAGAGGTGAAGAGTATAGAGGACCAGGCCTTGCCTATGGTCCCCAGTATCTCAAGACTGCCCACTTTTATGCCTAAAACTCTGCTTAAACTTTCAATAAACAAGATAATGAGGACCAGGGTGTATTCCGTCATCATTTAGGCCAGGCCTGACTGGCCTCAGGAGTGTACTTCCTGCCTCATCCTGCCTGGCCTAGAGTGGGCCTTTCTGCCTTCCTGGGCTCTGCTGTGCCCTCTGCTGGACCCCTTGTTGCCTAGTGGCCCTACTAGACACCCGTATGTGCTTGGGTGGTGGCAGTGAATAGTTAAGCAACGAATTGTCTGGGTACACTTTGGGGCCACTAGACATTAATAAGCCAAAACTCCTGGATCCCAGCAGCACAGGCCAGGAGGGTGTGGTAAAAATTAACAAATACCAAGCAATCTATATTACAAAGCATAGAGGTGGCACACACTGAATCTGGGGCTGGGCATGATGGCAGGAGCTATCTGGAGTGGCTTCCTGGAGGGTTAAGGGGCAAGTGGCATCTCCAGGGGTAAGAGAAGAAAAGAATTTTTATTTCTAGTCAGAAGAGAGGGCAGTAGCAGAGGTGGAGAGGCTGAAAACAGCAATACTTTGGGGGGGAGTTTATAAGTGGTCTCAGGTAGGCCACATATGGTGATACATACCAGTATTTGGGAGGCAGAGGCAAGTGGATTTCCATGAGTTCAAGGCCAACCTGGTCTATAGAATAAGGTTAGCCAGAGATACACAGTGAGAGAGCCTGCCTGGAAGAAATAGCAAGTGTTCTCAGCTGGCTAGAGTTAGGGCTTGGGTAGGGAAAGGGCAGATGATGAGGCTGTAGGTTAACCTTATGGCAATGGGATCACAGGCCAGTCAGAGAAGCTTGTGTCAGTTATTTGGATAGTACAGGATCTTACTGGGGAGAAGTGGGCTTGGGGGGGGGGGGAAATGAGGGCTGCGAAGACGGTTCAGTTGGAAAGAATGCTTGATGAGCAGACACTAAGAGCCCCCCCCCCAAGTTCAGACCACCAGCACCTATGTAAAAGCTGGGTGTGACCAGGTGTGCCTGTAACCCCAACACTGTGGGGTAGTTTGGCTGGCTGCCAGTCTGGAGTTGGGGGAAGAGATGAGCTCCGGATTCAGGAGAGACTACCTAGGGCTAGGGCTACACAGTGAAAGTCTGTTTAAAAAAAAAAAAAAAGCCAACAAACATGGCAAAGGAGAACCAAGCTTGCTTAACCATAAACCAACTTACTTTTATGATTTTGGCAGATCATTGTGGTGTGTGCCTATAATCCCCAGTATTTGGAAGGCAGAGACAGACCCAGGAGTTCATAGTCCTGCCTTGGCTACATGGAGTTCAAGGTCAGGGCCAAGCCAGGTGGGTCAGCAGATAAGAGTGCTTGTCACCAAACCTGACAACCTGAGTTCAACCCCTGGGACCCACAGATAGAAGTGAACTGACTAGCAAAAGTTGTTCTCTGACCTCTACAGGTGTGCTGTGACACAAGCAAGCCCCCTCTCCCAAAATAAGGATAGCCTAGACTATATAAGACTGATCAAAATAGTAATATATAATAAAATAATAATGATAATAATGGGCTGAAGAGAGGGCTCAGTTTGTAAAATACTAGTCATGTAAACACAAAGCTGAATTTGGTCCTAGCAACCACATAAAAAGCTGGGCCTGGCAGTATGCACTTGTAACCTCAGTCCTGGGGAGGTGACAACAGGAAGAACACAGTAACTTGCTGGTTAGCCAGTCTATCCTAATTAGAAAGCCCTACAACCACACAAGAAACTATTGCAAAAGAACAAGGCAAACAGCTCTTGGGAATAAAACTTAGTTTGCCACTGGCTTCCAAGTGCATGTGCACACGTGCTCCAAAACACACACACACACATAAAGAATTTTCTAAGTGTCATTATGAGAGTCTGTAGAAGTGTCAGAAAGGAAAAAAGATGTTTGTCTTTAAAGAAACCATGAACAGTCCCTGGACTGTGGAAGGCTTCACGGAACTGGAAAGACAAAGAAATGGAATTTCCAGAAGGAAAATCCTGTCAACACCTTGATCATAATCTAGACAACTCATCCTAGACTCATGACCTTCAAAACTCATACGTACTGCTCTAAGTCACGGGTTGTGATAAGTTTTTGTGATACTCACAGGAATACACTAATCCAATGTTGGGTCCTATCCACACCCTCAAGAGCTCCCAGAAATAGGGAGTCTGCTGGAGTACTTGAATAAGAGAACCATAAATCGAGATGAAAATATTTATCTGAATAATCACATGGTGTAGACAGCTTCACTCAAAACCATGAGCAGCTGGAATTCATGAAGCAGGTCAGCTCTTCATACACGGGGAGGTGTAACAGGCTGGAAGCAGCCTCACTGTGAGGCACTGCCTTTTCTTTTTTCTTTTTTAGTTCTGACATTTTATTTTTTTTTTCAAATTTACATTTTTATTTAATTTTATATAACAAAGTCCAATTAAATGAAAACAAACATTTATACACAATATTTGGGAATTTGGGCGTCGTTCTTTCCAAACTACTTCCTGCTGGTAAGGGGCGCTGTCTTGGGGGGATTCGAAGAAGATTCCAGCAGTCCAAAATAATGGCAGCAAGACCAGAGGCCATTCACATCTGGCATAGATGAAGTGTTCAGTGTTCAGTGATCTGCTGTAGCGGCCAATCCTGGTGAGGAAGGGGACACCATACCACAAACAAAAATCAATCACGACACCTTAATAACAGCACCATCTCCTTAACCTTGTGCCCAACCAATTTTCTGTGGGTTCTGAAGAGCCCCCCCCCCCCAGGCAGCAGCAGGGTCAGGCCAGCTCAAATTAGGGGATATAATGGAGAAAGAGAAGACAGAAATAATCAGATTGACTTCTTAAATCAGACATGTCCATAGACTTCCCAAAGATCTACTTGGTCCTGCCACAGTTCAAGTCCTGCCTAAGCTACAAAGCTAGCTGAAGACTAGCATAGAAAACTTGATGAGACCCTGCTTCAAAAAAAAAAAAAGAAAAGAAAAGAAAGAAAGAAAGAAAAGAAAAAACACAGACAGAAAGAAAGAAAGGAAGAAAGAAAGAAAGAAAGAGAAAACATAAGAAAGAGGGCTGATTAGTGATATGGCTCAGGCAGGGGTGCCATGCAGTGTTTGCCTGGCACACATGAGTCCGTTAGTTCAGTCCCCAGTACCAGAAAAAGAAAACAAACAGCTACTGGAGGGTGGAATGACAAAATAATTGGGAAAAAATCTGAAAAAGTCTTACCTCTATTTTCACAGAATATATTCATAATAGATCTTGGAGTTAATTGTGTAGTTATGACAATGGGTGACCTTAGGCAGCTCTGGGTGTACTGAATTGCATTTTTGAACATAATATTGCCATGAATTAGCATGAGACTCCCAGATGCAATCAAGCAGCCAGGAGACTGCATGGCATAGTTCATGGATCAAGGTGTCCTGGATTCGATCTTGAAAGAGGAATGAAAGCAAGCTGTCAGTACTAAAATGGGACTTTCTTCTGATCTACTATCCAACAAGCCTTTGATTTTCACTCCCAAACACAAGGCCGTCTCACAGAAACACATATAGGCAGCTGCAAGGGTTGGCTTTCCAGGACTCTAAGAGCAAAACTTCCGTCCACCTACAACAAACCAGTTTGGGCTTTGGCTGTTCCTCAAGTGGTCAGGTTTTTGGGGAGCAGCTCCAGTATGTTCATCTTTTTGTGGGGTGCTGCTACAAATGTACCTGGACAAGGCTTTGTTTCTTTGCTCTCAGGACAAAGGTGGGTTCAGGAGGTATCTCTGGCCATAAGATTTGGTGAGCAGAAGCTTGGGGTAAGAGAGATCTCAACTGGACTCTTATGGGAAAAATTAAATTTGTTTATGTCTGTGTGTGTATACATGTACATGCCATAGCACAGATGTGGAGCGCCAGAGGACAACTTGTGAGAGCCAGTTCTTTCCTTCCACTATGCAGGTCCTGGGGATCAAACTCAGATCAGTAGGCTTGATGGCACTGAGCCACCTCACCTGCCCTGAGGTTAAAAAAAAAACAAACAAACAAAATACAAAAAAATCCAGCAGCTCACTGGCCATTGGTGGTGCACACCTTTAATCCCAGCACTCGGGAGGCAGAGGTAGGCAGATCTCTGAGTTTGAGGCCAGCCTGATCTACAGCGCTAGATCTAGTATAAGACCCTCAGAATGAGGAGTCTCCCAGTTTCAGTCGGTACCCCCAAGAACTCAATGTCTAGGCGAGTTGCTACAACACGCAAGAGACTTTAATGAACAGGAAATGATTGCGCAACCTGACTCCCTCAGCATGCAGGCTAGAGAGAAGCCCCCTTCCCGGTCACAGGTGTCTTTAACCCACAAGCTTAGGGAGGGAGTGTGACCCTCTGTCCATTGTGTACATGACCCTTTGAGGCCTGATGGTCCCTCGCTATTAGGGTCAACAGACCTTAGGGCCTCAGGGTGTGCTAATTAATCTTGTCTAGGCAAATGGAGGTACAGTTATCTCTTTGTTTCTTAAGGACCCTATTCACCACCTGCTGACTCACAGGAAAGAAGGGGCAGTGTAAATTCTTGGTGTCCTGTTATCTCAGGGCCTTGTGAGGAGAAGTTAGCAAATTCCAAGGAACTGATATTGGTCTGGGTTAGCTTTCCAGGTCAGTCCATCCTTCATTTCAAGTGGGGGGTTTCTTTAACTTTACATTTTTGTCTTTCACTAGGACAGGCTCCAAAGCTACACAGAGAAACTCTGTCTCGAAAAACCAACCAACCAACCAAGCAAACAAAAAAAAAAAAAACAGCAGCTCACTTCTGTAATCCCAGCAAAAGGACTATATAAGTTCAGAGTCAGCTTGAGTTGACTATACATATATTAAGAAGCCAGCCAAGGCTACATCAAAGCAGGGTTCAAGGCAGACACCTGTGTGTAGTTCCAGCTACTCAGAAATCTAAGATGAGAGGTCTGCTTGAGTCCATGGATTCAAGACCAGCCTGGACAACATAGCAAGACACCATATCAGAAATAAGACAAAACCCTTGATTCTAAAAATTAATGAGGGTTATAGCTGCTATTCAAC